TTTTCTAATCTAAAGCCATGATAATAAGGAATGAACCTTATCATCTTCCATATATATCTCAATCATAATTAACGAATCATGATAATTGTCCATACAAATCTCAATTGTTTCCTAATATAATGGTTTGTAAGAAGTATATGGTTTGTATTTGAAACCACCCATATATACATACATATATATATATATATATACACACACACACACACAAAAACGAGTTATATAAATATGGATAATATATTGAAAATATATGTATATAAAGAGGGTACGGATGATGTAATTGTCTAATGTACATATTAATAAACACTCAACAACCATCTTAAATCAAAGAAATAAAAGAATATTAGATTCACCAAGTTAGGTTGGTATGAATAAAAGTAACTCAAGATCAATCCAATACCTACAATTTGAAGATTTTACAACTCGATTAGACATCGCGTTGTTTCGGATTAAGTTATTTCGCATTGGGTTAGTCGGGTTTTTAAACACAAACAAAAGAGACTAAAACAAACAATCCTTAATGAAGAAATAACGATACCACCTTCACGATCGGGATGTTTTCGTGCAAATACTAACTGTATTTTTTGTAAACACGACCGCAAAAACACGTGTTCGTAAATTTCTCGGTTCATTCTTACAAAATGCAGTATCGTTGTATTTTTATATTTGAGCAAATAAATCTATGTATTCATATCGCACCAATTCAAGAGCTTTTCGCATCAATGAGGTTGTATATAAACCCGAACAAATGTTAGTTTTTCGTATATCTACTAACTCGATAACCGTTCACCTGCTCGTTGTAAAACCGTTCTAAGTTCCTTCTCCAATCCCCGTAAAAGGACCGGTTTCCGAATCACTCCGTTCATCCCGACCTGCAAGCATCTCTCCCACACCTGTTCTTCGGCACTTGCCGTCAACGCGATGATCAACGGCCGATTACGGCTCCGAAACTTCCGAATCCTCGTGGCAACTTCGAACCCGTCCATTTCCGGCATGTGGAGATCCAAGATCACGAGATGGAAAGGGGTCATCGTGGGCCCGAGTGAGCTCAAGCATTCGAAGCCGGATGAGACGGTGGTGACGTGGCAACCGAGCTTCACGAGGAGTTTTTTCGTGACCATGCGGTTTACGCCATCATCATCGGCTAAAATGACTTGTATGCCCTTGAAGATGGAGTTTGAATTCGGTTGGTCAACAAAGTTTCCGAGGTCGAACAGTGGTCGTGTGAACGTTTGTTGGATGTGGAATCGGAGAACAAGACTCGCGCTTTGTATGTAGCCCTGAGAATTCGACGACATCCATATTTTCCCTTGCATCATCTACAAAACGTTTGACCAAATTTCAAGTTATCATAAACAAAACACGAAAAAACCAAACCAAACCAAACCGAACCAAACCGTACCGTGCAAAATTAACGTTGACCAATAGTCAAATGTCTAAAATACCCATCCAATAGAAAAAAGTACCTTTTGTGGTTTCGACGAATAGTCAAAATGTACCTTTAGTAGCTTTTGACCAATAGTCAAAAGTCTAAAGTACCCTTCTAATAGTCGGTCAGAGCTGCACCACCATGTAGCTCTGACACACAGGGACCGTAGGTCCCTTACACAATGATGATCAACATCTATGTGTTCGTTTCTCTCATGAAAAACACGATAGATGTTCGTTTCTCTCATGAAAAACACGATTCTTAGCTATGTGGATAGTAAACCGGTTATCAAAGTACCGTCCCGTTGGTTTTTGGATGCAACAAATTAAACTCATATGCACCAGACAACCAAACAAACTCAGTAAGTCCCAAATAGGGCCCGAACTCCAGGGGCATGATCACGGCTCTGACCTCTACCTCAAAGAGTAGATCAGTTGTTTTAGTAAGTTTATATGCACCAAAAATCACAAAAGATACGACAAAATTCACCAAAATCACAAAAGATACGACAAAATTCCAATTCTTGATCTCGATCTCGATAAATATACCCATGTAGCTCTAGAAAAGTCGTCAACAAATGTAACAAAAATATCTGAAAATCAAGAGTAAACTCGATCCGCGAACACCAAAATGAACTAAATCAGAAATGGAATAGCGAGAACCAATTGTTCATTAATTATTCATTATGAATATACCTAATTATTCATAATGAACATACCAAAATATGCCTCATAAATAACTAATGAATAGTTGGTTCTCACGTTTTCAACCTAGCATGGAATCAATATAAAAAAAAAGCAGTAATTCTAACCTGAACAATTTTTTTGCACATGCTGAAGCTCAAGCTGTCCTTAACTTCACTTGCATTTTGCCTCTTGAATCCCGAATGCATACTCGAAACCGCTAATTCCGATCGGGAGCCACTGTCACCGGTTCTGATGTCGAACTTTACGTTCACGAATTCATCAACCGATCCAGATCTGCCCGTTCCCCAAACTTTATCGTTCCTACCCTCATTTCCGTTCTCCAAACTAACACGAAATATCACCGGCCTCCCTTGTTCGCTAATATTCAACAAATGACCAACCATATGCAATAAAACCTGAAAAGTCCGCATTTCATCGCCCGTAACCATGTTCGGAATCGAATTCGGAACCTCCATCGTGAAACCGAACCCTTGATAGATACACAAACACTTTACTAAACAACAAGCTTCTTTAACCATTGAATGTAGCTGAAACGGCCTTATTTCTAATGGTAATCGGCCAGTATCTTTGGCCGATATCTCCATAACGTCGTTAATCAAAGTAGACAAAATGCTGCTCGTTTTGGCTATTGTGTCGACTATATTGCTCTGATTTTGGTTCGTTTTTTCGTCTTGAAGTATCGAAAGGAGGCCCATGATTGAGTGCATCGGTCGTCTCATTCCGTGGCTCATTACCTTTTGAAACGAGTTTCTCGCTTGGCTTGCCATCATCGCGTTTTCCTTTGCCTGTTGCAAGACGCGGTTTTGCTCGACGAGCTGTTCGCGCATCGATTGTGATTCTTCGAGAACGGCAGCGTGCGAAAGCGCGACCGCCACTTGATCGGCCACGACCTCCACGATTTGCATCTCGTCGAAGCTCCAATCTCGCTCACTATCGTTAGGAAGAACCAAAACCAATATCGCATAACAAGTGTCGACCAACTCAGGAGTCCCGCCTTTAAAATTCGAAACGTGAAGCATCGGCATCCGAATTGCCGCCACCGGACCCGATTCGGCTAACCCACCACGGCTTTGAACCGCAAGAACCGAATCCGATCTCAAAATCATCACCCCCTTCTTCTGCGTTATCGCTAAAACATCAGGATCGTTTTTGGGGATCGAAGGATGGTAAGCTGACAAATTTGGTCTTAACTCGTGGGTCAAATTCATTTCGGTTTTCTTCTCGTTTAGCATCCAAACAGCGCAATTCTGAAGAACCAAAGTGTTCGAAAGCTCGACTAAAGTGGTGTATAGAATCGTATGGCGATCTAACGATTTCCGAATCTCTTGAGTAAGCATTCGAACATGCCAACTGGCTTCTTTCTGTTTCTTCATGATCCCGACTTCTTGATCCAACTCCAACACATTCTGTTTCAAGAAAAGCTCCCGAACTTTGAATTTAAGCAGCAGCGGGATCAGGGTCAATAGCGTGATCGCGGTTGCACACGAGACTAAAGCCGTTAACAGTTTCGCAACGGTTAACGCCATCATCAACTGGAACGTTTGATTACCGTAGTACCCCCAACCGTTGATCAAATGAGTCAATCCACACAGAACTATGAATGCAATGAATTGAACAACAACCCATTTGAACGGCACATTCGAACAGCTCAGAAAATACAATAACTCGAGCGGGATTGAGAAATACGCGATCGCAATCAAGAAATCGCTCACTCGTTGGCTCTCGATGATATGTGCATTCCATGATCCTTCATCTTCACAGTGACAGTGAGCGAAATCGTTATCATTCGCTAACGAATGGCCGATAACCAAAGAAGCAATCAAGAACCCTAAAACTAATCTTCTCAACATTTTTGCAGCCCAGAGAGATCGAAACCCTCTTGATTATAAAGCTTCAATCAAGCAACAACAATGGCGAAAACCCCTAAACCCTAACTCTTAACCCTAATTCCAGAACTCCAAGATTCAACCCAATGAAAGATAACATCAAAAGAACCTAATAATCTTCAGATCTAACTAAAACCCATATCAAGAATCCACCAATCAAACCCCCAAAAAACATCAAGGAATCTTCTCTCTCGATTTCGAAATCTAAATTAGAGTTCCATACCCTGTTTCAATTCGTATTATAAAAAACAGAAATCACAAACGAAAAACTGTATAGAATCGATTTCTTACAGAAAGAATCGAACGAAAACTATGATCTGAAGCAACAAACCTCTCCAACTTGGATCAAAATCGACTGATTCGATAGCTTGTTAGTTCAGATTTCTCCAAAAAGCGTTGACCCCAAAACCCTTTTCTTGAAACCCACTTGAACTTAAAGTAAGCAACCACCAACTAGAAATTAAAAACAAACTAAAGAGAAGAACCCAGTTCGCAGAGACGAAAATCGAGCTCATTAAACCAAGAAACCTCCATTAATTCAATCAAATCGATGGATCAATCAGCCATGGAATTGGGAAGAAGAAGAAGAAGAAGAAAAGAGACAAAAGACTGCAACTTTCTTGTGATTCAACAGCTCTTTTTGAACTATTATCTATACAGAAACATATTATATTATTATATATGTATGTATATATATATATAATATATGTATATAATTAGAGATCAATCTTTAATCAAGATTGAATTGCTTTTCTGAAATAGAGAAGATGAAAAAAGCATGGAAATTAAACAAGAGCGATTTCTGATTTCTGGGGCCTACTACGATTACATGAAGAGAACCTAGACGGTATTTTCTTGTTCGCCCATTGGATTATATAATATTATATAATATATATATATATATATATATAATTATTATTAAAGACATTAAATTAACATCCCCACTGCTTTATTACATCTTCAAGATTTGTATTCATCGATAGCTTAACTTTAGATTTCATGTTCATAAGATTTTGATTTTTAAATAAATTATTTGATTCTCTTAACAGTTTCATTAAGAGGTAGGGGCTGTTTGGCAATTGCTGAATTATGTACAATGAAATTATGGCTCTTAATGGTTAAGGGAGATGCAAAATACTAAATCATTCAGAAGGTTTTAGAACCATTAAGAGGCAAACTTTTTTTTTGTCAAACAAGATTCACCTCTTAACGATTCAGATGTTGCCTCTTATTGGAACTATTAAGAGGTAAACAAACAACCCCGTAATCTTTGTATCGTTAAGAAATGAACCTTGTTTAATAAAAAAAAAGAGTCTGTGTATTAATGGTTTTAAAACCCTTTAATTGATTTTGTATCTTGGATCTTCCTTAACCATTCAGCACCTTAATTTTATTATAAATAATTACTAAACAATTATATTTCATTTTACATTGTATTGTAAGAGCCTCTTAATTATTTTACACCAGACCATTCAGCAATTGAACAAACAACCCCTAAGAATATGTACAAGTTTCGGGCTTTTTCAGGTTCATGGCCTTTAAAATTGTTTTTTGCGTGTGGAAAAAAAAATTCTATAAAACGAAGATTGTGGAGATTTTGGACAAAGACTTCTCCAAATTCGGAGACCTTCGTAAAAAAAAATGATTACTATGAGAGAGAAATAATTTATTTTATTATAGCATCACCAAAGATATTTTGAAATTAAGTGTTTAGCATAGATAAATACCGTTTTATTAAATTTATGAAATATTTTAATAATATAATCAGTATTGTAATATACAAAATTGCAGAAGTTATGGGGTTAGCTCACCTGTCAATAAGGTGTGAGCCCATTTCTCATATCATTGGTTTGAGTCCTGCAAGGCCACTAAGGATTTTCCTAACTGTTTCTTCAGGGCCACTGGGATTAGTCGAGGTGAACGTAAGATGGCGCAAACACCCATGGTAAACAATAAAGAAGTTGTTACAACTGAATGTAACTTTTTGGGGAGATTTTGAATTTTGATTCTTCAGTTTAGAGATCTGTTGGAGATACTCTAAGGTGACGTTTGTTTTTTTAAGAGGTGTTGAAATCTGAAATATGAATTAATAAGACTGTTTGTTTTTGTAAAGTGATAAACGTTTGAATTTGTTTAAATTGTCTATTTTACCCATTAAAAATTATCATATTGAATTTATAGATAAATATATATAATTTCAAATATTTATTCATCATCATTACGAAATGTATATCTAAATTATATAATTAATATCCATTTAAACAAAAATATGTGACACGTTTACATTCTATTAAAAATACATTAATTGAGAGAGGTGAGGATTGATTTGATAATGATCGATTGAGAGAAATGCTTGATTAAGGTTAATCGACTGAGAAACATCGTTGTTGGGGATTTGAAGAACAATAAGAGGCAAATAAGAGGTTGGTTTACCTCTTACCAGATAAAAGGAAAATAAGACATAAATGGCTCTAAAAAATCAGAACAAACAAACAGTCTGAATGGCTTTATTGTTTGCCGTATAAGCTTTATTTTCTTATATCAGAAGAAATCATGGTAAAACCAGCAAAAATGATCAACATAAAACAATCAGATGTTATCGAATTCCAACTTGTTTAAGACATTCTTTTCAATCAGTAATATTTTATTAATAAAAAAACCCGAGGCTTCGCTTTCCATTTCTTCCTTTTTATAATAAAACCTTTAATTAATCGATTTTTGACTCCAAACTTAATGACATAAAGTGACTTGACATGTCCACGAAATAATAATCGCCCTTTTGAAAACATCTATTGACATGTCGCTTTACTTGTCTCTTTTCCTACCATCGTAACCCATTTGGTTCCGAACAATATGAATTCATCACGTAGTTATTAATTAAAAGTTATAAAATACAGCGTAATTATTTCATAAATAGTTTGAATTTTCTCGGTTTTATTCAAAAATCGTTCATTCGTTATTGTTTAACGTCATGAATCGAATTAATAGTCATCACCCAACCACGTTGTTATGGATGATATCCTGCCACCTGTGTCCTTTTTCAGTGAAAAACAGAGAGATAAATGAACTGATGTATTTTTTGTATCTGCTATCGAAAAGTAACAGTGTAGCTTTTGTTGTTAGAAGGTAATCGGGGTCAGTTACGCCAAAAACACAGACAAATCTATAGATACAAAATATGAAATATATATACATAGACATGATCTCAGTTTTATTTTTGTATTTTTCTTCAATAACGATAAAAAACGAAGTTACAAGAAATAGGTCCACCATGGGCCCATTAAGAATTTGATACTACTATTGGGCCAAGCCTTCAAGTTTGGCAAATCATGAGTTGAGCCCATGGTTTGGCCCAAATTAACTTTAACACTTCTCTCTATTTTGAGTAAATTGCATGAAAAAGTAACGTACTTTAACTTGATTCATATTTTTGGTTACGTGCTTTCAAAACTTCCATTTTGGTATCTAAGATATAAAGTTTTAAACATTTAAGTACCCGGGTAACCGGTTGAAAACTAAATTTAGATAAAAAAAAGACTAATTTTAGATTCAAAAGAATTCATGTCACTAATCACGTCAACAAATAATACTGAGTTGGATACCATATCACTCGCCACATCAGCATGATAACCGGTAATGCTTCAACCGGTTACCCGAGTACTTAAATGTTTAAAATTTTACATCTTAAGTACCAACATAGAAGTTTTGGAAGTACGTTACTCAAAATATGAATTAAGTTAAAGTATGTTACCAAAACAAGATTCAAGTTAAAGTACGTTACTTTTTTATTCAATTTGTCCCTCTATTTCATATAAAGATGTGTAATTATTTATAAATTCAGTAAGTCGTTTATAAATCAATTTTCATGTGTTGTTTTATATATGAAACAATATGTATAATCATGTAATTTTTATATAATGCTCTTTCATATGTGAAACATTCAAAATTGTTTTGTACATGAAAAAACAGTCATCAAATCAACGAGCTTTTTTGCCTAGCGGTATTTGAGCCTTTGACCTCCTAGAAGGTCAAGGGTTCAACTTTCACCAAATATGAGAAGAGTGTGTGAGTTTAACTGTTGCATTTCGTATATAAATATCATGTACTTAAAGAAAAACAGTCATGAACGTTTCACATATGAAACAACACTGTCTAAATATTGTATTTTTTTAATCAAGACTTTTTCAATAAGCTTAAAAAAAACAACAGTTTATGACGTTACAATCCATGACCAATTCACTGATTTAAACCATATGTTGCAATGTTAGTCTAAAACAATGATGTAATTAAGAGTGAACAAAACCTGCATTATAAGTTAAGATTGTAGGGTTGGGTTCACGTGAGAAAAAGTTGTTTTTGTGAGACACGTTTTTTACACTTGAAATTTTACAACAAAATGTTGTGAAGGTAAAAAAAAAGTCGAATCTTCACTGTGAAGGTTATTTTCACAATGTTTTGATGTGAAGTTTCAATTGTAAAATGAAGCAACCCATAATCTATGCTATATTATAAAGCATTTGACATAAACTCTTAAAAATCCATTTTTTATGCATAAAGTACTGTTTATTAATGCATATTACTTAAACTCAAGATTACAAGTAGATTGTGCGTTAGTACAATTTATTAAAGCTTCATATCTGAATTCGTGTAACTAACTGCAGATAAACATAATCAAATACAGGATAAACATCTCATTTTAAATATAAAAAATCTAAAATATAATTAGAATAATCATTGAGCTCTAACAGAATACTTAATTATTATTTTTATAAAATGTTATATTATTAAACCAAAAATAAATTATTTCATTATTAAACTTAAATTAAATTATAATAAAAAAATAAATTAATGAAATTACATAAAAAAATGAGAACTTTTAAATAGTTGATTTGATATTAACATTGATATTTTTTTTTTAATTTTTTATGATATCTTCAAATTTATATTTTATTCAAAAATAAAATTATTATTGATTTCTTTAAACACATAAAATCGTATTATAACATCGACAGAGACAACTTATAAAAATAGAATATTAAAATCGAGATGTGTCTCACTGCATTGTGCGAATATGATGTCTGAATGCATATGTAGATATATAAAAAAAGCCATTAAGCCAAAATCATATGGTCTGTAGGAGATGACGATGGTTCCAACATTGCCAACAACCGCGTCCACCAGCTTTTGAGGCTTCCATTGGATCTCGATCTTCTGCATATATGGTTAACACACAAATAAATCTATATACATCCAAAAACAACAACACACATCTACACACATATACGTATACACACACACACACACATATATATATATATATATATATATATATATAGGTGGAGGTTCAAACGATAACACCTCCATTTTACGAGAACGTAAGAACACTCTTATCACATGTGATAATACGCGTGAAAGGTCCATGTGATGTGCAGACGACGTGTTCTACGACTTAGGCCGCACCACAGGTTGTCCGCGTCTATGATTTAGCATCACATGTGATGGATTATAGTATCATATCAGCAACACTCTTATCACATGTGAGGGAGCTTAGTGGTGTAAGAGCGACTTGGCCTGCAATTAGGATCGCATCGGAAATCGGCCGCGTCTCTGATTTAGTATCACATGTGTATCATATGTGATGAAATAATAGTATCACATGTGATTGTCTATAGTAAAAAATCGTTCTTGTAAAATGAAGATGTTATCGTTTGAACTTTTCCCCACACACACATATATATATATATATATATATGTATGTATATATGTATGTATTTATATATGGGTTGGATTTACGTGAGACCACTTTTTTACACTTATAAAAAAAGTCAAACCTTCACAGCAAAACCACTGTAAAGATTACCTTTACAGAGTTTTTTTGTGAAGTTTCAAATGTAAATAAATGGTCTTACGAAAAGAGGTTGGTCTCACGTGATCTCAAGCCATGTATGTGAGTGATGGATGATACCTTTTGGTTGGTAAGTTTGGGATTGGGGGTGTGTAGGGGTTTGAAAGATTGGTGGTGGTGAAGAAAGGAGGATGATGAGTGTAAAGAGAAGAAGGAAGAAGGAAGTAAAAGTATTGAACTTCATTTTGGACAAGTGTTTTTTTGATGTTGGTTTCATTTCATTTATATACAACTCATCAAATCAAATAAATAACTATTTAATTAAAAATTCATATATTTTAAGATTGAAATGTTCAAATGTAAGAATATTTTACAAGTATATTTAATTAAGTGGTTTATATGATTTATGTGACTTTAGCTACTATTTGCCATTATTTGTGGGCCAGGTTGTCCATTCACCCTCAGCTATCACATGTAAATAACACGTGACTTGACCATTTTCTTGTTGTCTTTATTTTGATATTGTTCTCGTTTGAACCTCTTTATATATAGTGAGGTTCAAACGAGAGAACAACGGTATCACATATGATATGAATGTTTTCGTGTTTTTGTAAAATGATAATGTTCTTATTTGAACCTTCCCATATATGTATGTATATATATATATGTGTGTGTGTGTATGTATATATATATATATATATAGAGAGAGAGAGAGAGAGAGAGAGAGTGTGTGTGTGTGTCAGAGAGAGGTCGTTTCAAATAAGAATGTTAAATATCATGAGAAGGTAAAGAAATAAGCTTCATATGTGAATCATCGAAGAAATCCGAAAAAATCTATATGAAAATGCGTATGTGAACCGATGTTATAGATTATTCATATGGATTCACATATGCATCTTCAAATGAATTTTTCTATGATTTACATATGAATTTTCTCCTAAACTTCTTTTTTACCTTCCAATGATATTTAAATTTCTTTATTTGAACCTCTTATGCTTACACACACACACACATATATATATAGAGAGAAAGAGAGAGAGACTTGAGATCACGTGAGACCAGCCTGTTTTCGTGAGATCCGTGAGACTACTTTTTTACACTAGAAACTTCACAGCAAAACGCTGCAAAACTTATATTGCACGAGGGAATTTAAACCAAGTCTTTAGGATTTTCCTTGATTTCAAGGGTAATAAGCTACAAAGTATTATGCATATATACCATTTTAAAATAATAAATCAAAAAACCAATACAAAATTATTAACTTAATTATTAAAATATAAAATGGCTTTAAAAAAGGAATTTGTTGGCATCTAAACATCTTTGATGAAAATTTGATAACTTTTATTTTAATAAATTTTATAAATGAGAAGGGAAATATTCAAAATGAGGTTGGTGGGTACATTTTCAGTCATAACCTTGACTATTGACCATATATATATATATATATATATATATATATATATATATAATATGTATATTCATTATCATTACTTGGTTCTTACGGTTTATAAAATATGCGAGTTTTGGTGAAATGATGAAAATATGGGCTTTTGTTTATCGATTTTAATGACCATTGGTCTGTTACCGGAACTATAAAAAATTCATACGACTTATTAGGACAAAAATAGTCCTAAGTTTTAGAAAGTTTTATAAAGTCCATATATTGTATTATATTGTAATATCCATTGTATTTGGGTTCAGGCTTATGGGCTTAACTTGTAAATGTCACATATAAACAGGGATGGGGTTTAGACTAGATGTTAATCTTTCTAATTCATTCTATTATTTCTGTAAACATCAACGAGAGTCGTTTGAGAGAATTGAGAGACTGTAACTTTATTTCTTTCTAATAAAAGAAATATGGCTGGTTTCTTATCTTGTTGTTCATCTCTCAATTCTAAACATGAATTGATTCTTGATTTGTTGTTGATCTGGGATTTACATTTGGTATCAGAGCAGAATCGGATTATCATTTTCGATACGATCAATCAATTCAGCAGCATATTTAAGAATTCAATTATGTTTTTGGATGAAACAGTACACGCATCCTTATTCAACTTATGTTTGACAGTTTATGCTTAATTGGATCATAATTCACATTGACTCTCACTGTTTTGATTAAATTGATGCTAAAAGATTACCATTTAGGGGAATTCTAATGTTTTTGGATCATTAATTTTGTGGCTAATTGATTAATTTTGGTGATGTTGATTGATCTAAGTCGAACTGAGCTATTCTGGAAATACAACTTTCCTCATTGCAGGATGAATATATTCATTGAGCGATGAAGTGGTGCTCATCGCCCAAGGAAGGTGTGAAGAAATGAGCATTAAGTATGCTCATCGGGCAGATTTATATTTTTGGTAATAAAGGTTTGAGCGATATCTAAGGACTTGGATAAAAGTTTACTAAGTTTTGAGCGATAATTCATGCTCATCACTCAAGCTTGTCCGGAGATTATGTTTAAATTCCAAGTCTTGTCCGATAATGTTGAATCCGCTCACAGAGGTGTCCGATGAAGGGCCCTCATCGCTCAACTAACCAAGTGATGAAGTCTTGGTGAGCGATAACCTTGTTACTTTGTGCGATATAGTGTTGTCCGGAGAGCTTCTTATCGCTTAAAGCTTCAAGTGATGACACCCTATCCTTGTGCGATGAAGTTGAAAACGATAACCCTTTTCATCACCTAAGTGGTGAGCGATGACTCTGCGTCATCGCTCAAGGCGTGAGAGATGATGATGGGTCTCCGCCTAAGGCATGTGCGATGAAACAATCCTTCTTATGCTTATCGCTCATCACATAAGAGCACTTATCCGATTTGACTCTTGTGTTTAATATGTGTGCTTAATGGATGTCTTAGACCTATTTTCATAAGCCTAATGATTAAGGTGATGCTTTTACCTTTTTGCCCTTAAGAGCATCATATATCAATTTCTGGTCAACAATGATTTTTAAAGTCAAAGTTTGAATTTTGGTCAACCAATTGAGATTTGAAGATTAAAGACGAATTTGAAATGTTTTCAGAACAATACTGATTAGTTTCAGTATTTTAATGGACTAGCTGGAGTTTGAGGATTTGCAATCATTTTTCTGGATTTTTCTATAAGAGGCTAGAACATTGAGTGCCTTCACTCAATTTTTTGACCTGATCAATCAGAGGTCTTGATTCTTGAAGGTATGCAATCAGTGTTCTGGAGGTTCTGAAAATAATCAGATTTTTTAGTGTTCTCAGTCATGCTTCTAACCTGATCAATTAGAGGTTCGATAGTTTACAATCATTATTCTGGTGCTTTGGTTTTGATCTTAGAATTTTGAGTGCCTTTAATCATTTTTTTGGCTGGGAATTTTGGATCTGATTCTGATTATTCAGTTTTTTGGAAGATATAAGGAAATCGACTTATCTATCTGGTTTGACTTGCTGTTCTTGAAGCTGTATGCATTCTGTTAATTCTTCTCTTCGGTTTTACAATGTTAAAGGTGTTTGCTTTGGTTCTTCAAGCAAATGTTGATTACCCATTATGAGCTTGCCAAGTTTAAGTTCTTAAGCTGAATGCCTATTCAACTCGTGGTTCATTGAAAGATTCTTTGCCATTAGACTGGTTGCACTGGATGTCACGACACTCGCAAATTTATCTATCCCAAAGTTGGATGAATCTATAGCTAACGGATTGGCGATGATTCTACGGTTCAAGGTTGTGTTGAGTCATCTACAGTTTAGTTGTACTTTGTGCAATTGGTGGTGCTTAACTCATTTGATATTATCTTAAAGTTTAAACTTAAAGAGTAAGAATTATCTTCGGGGGGAGCTTGAAGATTTTTTATCAAATGTCGGGCACACCAAAGTTTTCTCAAAGAAAGCAGGGGGGGGAAGACTTGAAGCTTTCAAGAGGTACTTGCTTTATAAAACCCTGGAGGTAGATTGTTAGGACAAAAATTGTCCCAAGTTTTAGAAAGTTTTATAAAGTCCTTTTATTTTATTGTATTGTAATATCCATTGTATTTGAGTTAAGGGCTTATGGGCTTAACTTGTAAATGTNTCTTAAAGTTTAAACTTAAAGAGTAAGAATTATCTTCGGGGGGAGCTTGAAGATTTTTTATCAAATGTCGGGCACACCAAAGTTTTCTCAAAGAAAGCAGGGGGGGGGGGTGAAGACTTGAAGCTTTCAAGAGGTGCTTCTTTATAACACTTTGGGGAGAGATTGTTAGGACAAAAATAGTCCTAAGTTTTAGAAAGTTTTATAAAGTCCTTTTATTTTATTGTATTGTAATATCCATTGTATTTGAGTTAAGGGCTTATGGGCTTAACTTGTAAATGTCACCTATAAATAGGGACATGGGGCTTAGACTAGATGTTAATCTTTCTAATTCATTCTATTCATTCTGTAATCATCAATGAGAGTCGTTTGAGAGAATTGAGAGTTTGTAACTTTATTGTTTTTTTATAAAAGAAATTTGGCCAGTTTTTTTCTTGTTCTTCATCTCTCAATTCTAAACATAAATTGATTCTTGATTTGTAGTTGATCTGTGATTCACACGACTGAATATTGTATAGGTACGCAAAGGTTCGTGAGGTAAAGGTGGATTTTGATGAAAAAAGTTGAAAGTCCATACTTTTTTTTTATTAACCTGGATATCCAACCCGCCATGCGAGCCGACTAATCTCAGGACGACCACCTGCTTTGCAGATAGCCCGGAGTCACCGCATTTGAACCTCCGTGGCCACAAGGGGATTTTTATTCCTCCTTGGATTTGAACCTGGGACCTCCTGGTATTTTTTACCTTTGGAACCAAGTTCAAACCAATCAGGCACCACCCTTGTGGTTGAAAGTCCATACTTTTTGAGTCATCACATGAAGATGAAGGGCCGCGTTGCGTTAGTCATTAGATAAAGAAACAACTAATATAAAAACTTAAAAGTGTTCTCACATTCTCACAAAAGACTTGTTCTCACCTCATCACAACTATGTATGAATAGGTGAAAGATATGTGAGAAAGAGAGTTGACCTTTGATCACCTATAATAGATGAGACTGTATCTTATCTTTTTCATTTTATTATGACACTGGACGTATATATTTATTCTTGATTTTCAGTAATGCATTAAAAACCAGTTCTATTTTTCGTATCAACCTAATATATGTATTTAATGTATACTAAACTCACGATCTAACATAACACTGATCCTACATGTATGAAATCGTGCTTCAAATTCCCTGAACGATATCGATCGATATGATGATTACATAATTTATAATGGATTACATACAGTAACAATAATAACCAGTATTTCATGATTTATTGATGCTAACATAGCTATGTATATAAATCAATTGAATCATATGGTATGTAAGGAGATGACCATCATAGTTTTTTCCAACATTTCCAACAACCACCCCATTCAACTTTGCCTTCTCCTTCTGCATGTATAAACACATAAAAGATCATATGTATGTATCTATTTATCGATATATATAGCAAGCAAATTGATACTTATAAATCAACAGTATATCCCAACTGGAAGTAAGATCTAAGAAGGCAAGATTTACACGTGCTTTTCAAAGAGTGAAGTTGTTTTTTGTAAAAGAAACCCTTCGACTTGTAAAAGATGTGTGAAAGACAAAAAATCAGGTACACTTACGTTTAGAAAAGATAGATATAACTCCATAAGTAAGCAAAATCAATACAAAAAAGGCTAATACATACATATATATATATATATATATATATATATATATATATGACTTTGTGAGTGATCTAAAATACCTTTTGGTTTAGAAGGTTGGGATTGGGAAGAGGAAATGAGAACAAATGCAAATACAAGAGCCAAGAACAAAGCAAGACCATTGAACTTCATCTTCTAAACCATTGAAAGTGTTGATATTGAGCTTTCATATATATATATATATATATATATATATATATATATAATATGTATATATATATATATAATATGTATATATATGAATGATAGGGAAATAAGTTGATCCCATATATATAATATGTATATACATATATCTATATATATATATATATATATATATATATGAATGATAGGGAAATAAGTTGATTATATATATATATATATATATAGGGTTTGTTTCAATTGAGACCAGACCAGTCTGTTTCCGTGAGACCATTTTTTTTCATTTGAAACTTAACAACAAAAAGTCATAAAAGTAAAAGGAAAAGTCCAACCTTCACAGCAAAAACACTGTAAACGTTTTGCTGTGAAATTTCAAGTGTAAAAAAATGGTATCATGGGTTTCACGAAAATAGACTGGTCTCACGTGATCCCAAGTCTCTCTCTATATATATGTGTGTGAATGATAGGGAAATAAGTTGATTCTAGTTCCTACCATATATTACTTTGAAATTTTCAAATCCAAAAAATATTCGATTTAAGATGACATTATCAACATTTTGAAAGGCGTCGAAATTTGAAAAAAAAAAAGATACAGATACGAAAATAATAGGTGCACATGGGTATATCGTATTTGAGAGCATTAAATAGTCCGACCCAACTACTTCAGCTTACAAAAATGTCAACTTATTTTAAACTTCTTACGATTTTTAATCTGATTCTCATTGGATTGGATTAGTTCGAGTTGCGTTGATTGGGACGAACATATTTTTATTAAAAAAACATAATAAAATATTAATTTTTATTTTTAAAAAAAAGACTACAATCATCCCTACTCCCTAATACATAAAAGAAAAACTTTTATAAGGACCATGATATTATAGGACTTTTGGTCTAGCGGTATTGTAGCATTTGACCTTCTAAGAAGTCAATGTTTCAAACCTCATCAAATATGAGGAGAGTGTGTAAGTTTATTTGTCGCATTTGAAAAACATGCAACGATTACAAAGGATAATGGCGGACTTTTCTTAAGTCAACCCCAAATTTGTGATTATTATGTTGAAAACACATGTTTTTAATAATACAAAACATGTTTATAGTTGGAGATGGAAACGGGGTGGGAAATGCATTCCTGAAATCCCGACACCGACCCTATTTTATGTCTTATGTCCCCGAATTAGCCCTATCTAATCCTTGACGGGTTTGGGGGAGAATCCTTGACGTTATTGAGAACTTGTTGGATGCATGTTTAGGAAAAATTAATTCGGTATTTTAAAAACATAAAATGACATAATGAATCACTTATTCACATGTAATCATAATTCATGACATATTTAAAAGTATAAAATTATCAAGCAATAGAATGAATGGGCTCCAAAGGTAAAAGTGTCTGGAGTTCCCAAGTTCAAATCTAAAGAGGAATAAAAATCTCTTTGTGGCCATGGAGGTTCAAATGCGGTGACTCCGGGCTACCTACAAAGCAAAGCAAGTGGTCGTACTGGAATTAGTCGACTCGCATAGTGAGTTGGATATTCAGGTTAATAAAATTATATATATATATATATATATATATATATACATATATCGGGTATTATTAAGGGTGGGTAGTACCATCTCCGAACCCGCTTCGGGTATGAAAAACAATACTCATCCCCGCCCTATTACCTGATAAGTCGGGGAATCCCTGGGTCGTTAGGATGTGTTTGGTACACTGGACATGACTGAACATGGATCAATGTTTCATGTTTAACATGACTTTTTTTAAATTAACCTGGATATCCAACCCGCTATGCGAGCCGACTAATCCCAGGGCAGCCACCTAGATATTCATGTTTGACATGACTTTTATGTGAAACAGACAGAAACAAAGTGGAATAGTCGTGTTCTACCCCCACCTAATGAAACAAGTTGAAACAAACTTATGTTTTACTGATATAACATCAAACTAAAACCTCATTCTCTTCTAAAACATCAAATACGTTTTCTTTTTTACATTTTATTCATTCTTTAAATTTTATTTATTGTATTTTATGTTCCTTAAACTTTCACATTACTATCATCGATATATTATAATTATACAGATCATATATTTTGATTAATTTATGTAATCTATTAAATATTAATAATAAACAAATATAGAAAATGTGTAAAATAAAAACTGGAAACTACAAAAACCTTTACTTTGGTGTCATTTTAATTGCCATAACGAAAACTTTATAATGTTGTATTTTATTACAATTAGTAAATTACATAAGTAATCAAATATATATATATATATATATATAATAATATATAAACAACTCGTTAGGGTAAATTGGTTATTTTATCTTTTAAATTTTGTCCATCTATGTCTTATCAAACGTTGAACAACTGTCATGTTCTATTCATTTTAGTCTCTTAGACTATTCTATCCTGTTTGAATTCTAAAAACAACCTTAATGACGGCAACCACTGGTAAAAATTTCGTCACTATCTATAACTAAAGTTCCGAGCTTTTGTTTCACTATCTTGTAAAGTAACCGATCGAAACTATCACAACGGCAAAAACGTAAAAAATAATTTCATTAAAAAAATATAAAAAATAAAATAAAAGCAATAGTTATAATTACTTTGTTTAGACTTAGGATCATGTGAGATCAAAGTTTTTTCGTGAGACTCATAAGACCAATTATTAACCATTGGATTAGATCTATAATCTGAATATTCATAATCACAAAATTGTCACGAGACTTCTCAATAATCACAAAATTGTCACCGTGCAACTTTAGACCATTAGATCATTAACTTAGAGATTTGATCAATGAATATAAATTGGTCTTATGGGTCTCACGAAAAACCTTTAGTTTCACGTGAACCCAACCCTACTTGTTTATGTACAAATATTTGTAATTGTAGATTTATTCAAATATAAATTTAGATTTTTTTAATAAAAAAATTCCATCTTACGCGTAAATGAGAAGGAAAAAATCAAATGAGGTCGTGGTGTTAAATTATGTAATATCAAATAAGGTTGGTGAGTTCATTTTCAGCCACCGTCTTATCATATATAGAGGCAGAGATTTGGGATCATGTGAGATCAGTCTGTTTTCTTGAGATTCGTGAGACAATTTTTTTACACTTTAAATTTTACAGCAAAACATTGTGAAAATAACTTTCACAGTGTTTTTGCTGTGAAGGTTCGACTTTTTTACCTTCACAGGGTTTTGCTGTGAAATTTCAAGTGGAAAAAGTGTCTTACGGGTCTCATGAAAACATAATGGTCTCACATGAACCCAACCCCATAAGCAGATATATAATATAAATTGAGGCAAAACAAATTAGATTACAAAAACAATCGCTTTGTTATCTTTAATTTGACATCAATTTTGATATATATTTCCATCTGTTTTTTCATGGTTCTCAGTTTCTTTTCGTTTTCAAGGTTTTTTCTGGATTCTTTCTCTATACATATATAAATCTATAAATTGAGTGAGGTTTAAATACAGATATATAATACAAATTAAAATAATTTTAATTGTCCATCTAGCCTAATCAGTATTTAGTTTTATACATATTTCGATTGTTTAGTGATCTAAAACAACGATTACAATAAATGAACTCTATTATCTTTTATAAATATCTTGATCATAATGAATGAAAACCACAAGAGTGGTGCCTGATTGGTTTGAGCTTGGCTCCAAAGGTCAACAATACTAGGAGGTCCTAGGTTCAAATCCAAGGAGGATTACAAATCCCCTTGTGGCTACAAAGGTTCAAATACGATGACTCTGGGCTATCTGCAAAACATGTAGTCGTCCTAGGATTAGTCGGCTCACATAACGGGTTGAATATCCAAGTTAATAAAAAAGAATGAATGAATCTGATTTTCCATCCATGTGGTACGAGTTGTTACAGTTTTCATTTGAACCATCTTGTGAGACCACTTTGAAGCCCATGGATGAATTGATATCTCTAAGCCTAAAACGCAAGCCGGCTAATCTCAGGGCGGCCATCTGCTTTATGGGTAGCCTGAAGTCGCCGTATTTGAACCTCGGTGGACATAAGTAGATTTTTATTACTCCTTGAATTTGAACCTGTGATCTCCAGACACTTTTGATCTTCAAAGACCAAGCTCAAACCAATCAGGCATCACTCATGTTGTTAAAAAAAAAGCCTAGTTTTTGTATAATATTTAATTATAATAAATATTTTCGAATAAAAATTACGAGTTATCTATCTTAATTTAAAACTAAAGCTCTAAAAATTAGGTTAATCAAATCCCTTGATTCTTTGAATCAAATTAATCAAACGAATATCGGTTGACGTTTGTTTTCTATTTACTAAATCTACATGAAACATGTTGCTAATTCATCCAAAAAGTTGAAGTCGGACTCTTAAAATAATATCTAAAATTCGTAATAAATTCATCGACCACTCAACCAAAAACTGCTAATTTAATAATATCATAACTGTTCAAAAGAAAACATAAATATCTTTCATATTGTTTTTGCTGTAAAGTTTCAAGTGTAAAAATGTTGTCTTATGAAAACATTTTTTTTATTAACATGGATATACAACCTCCTATGCGAGCCAACTAATCTCAGGGCGATCACCCGATTTGTGGATGGTCCGAAGTCATCGCATTTGAACCTCCATGGTCACAAGGGGATTTTTTTATTCCTCCTTTAATTTAAACATGAGACCTGCAGACACTTTTGATCTTTAGAGCCCAAGCTTAATTAACCAATCAGACACCACCCTTGTGGTTAACAATAACATCTCTTACATAGGTAAACAAAAAAATCAACATGCATGTCCTTGCATATGCACATGTATGTATGAATTATAAAATTTGTAATTGAATCACTCAAATACATTTTAAAATATGTTTTATTATAATTAACGGTCATACAACAGCTATATTAAAAAAAACGGCTACTTTTTAGCCGGGCCGGTCCCTCGAAACCCTCCAAAACCATAACCAATCCCGGTCGCTAGTCCTATAACTGGTTCTTACCGATC